CCATGGTGAAACATCCAATCATTTGGTATCTCTGGAAAGCCCTGAATGTGCTCTGTACAGGACATCCAGACTTAGTTTGCATAGTTTGCATATCAACATCCAATCCAGTTCCATATGCAAATTACCATGCTCTCAGACAAAGGGTCATAAAACTCCCCAGTATTTCCAACCTCCCGCTTGGAATTTCAGCCTTTCTCATTGGACAAGCCCATCCTGAGAGGCGTGAATCTTCTCAGACCTTAAAGGGCTCACACACAGTTCCGCCCAGTCTTCTGCTAAATCTTCTGATTGCTGCCCGTGTTGAGAGCTTGAGTGCGGGCGGGCGTGCCCGGTGGGCTCCAACACATAGCCTTTCAGTTGGCGGTTCTGTTAAGATTCTGAGAAGATGAGGATGTGAGCTAGAATGCTTCTGCAACCCTTAAATCTGCACCAGCCTTGTCTTTACATTCACCAACAATCCTTGGATCTCAGCTGACGTCTCTCTTAGCTCTTCATCATCTTCATCTGGGAGAAAACTCTCCCGACCACCACAGAGTCAGAATAACATCTTTTTGGAGTTCATCACTCTTCAAAACCGGAAGAAGGTGATCACGACTCCTACACCACCGAACCTCCAAACCATCAAGACTCTTAAGTCTGCACCAGGCTTCGGCCTTGTCTTTACATTCACCAACGATCCTTGGATCTCAGCTGACGTCTCTCTTAGCTCTTCATCATCTTCATCTGGGAGAAAACTCTCCCAACCACCACAGAGTCAGATTAACATCTTTTTGGAGTTCATCACTCTTCAAACCTGGAAGAAGGTGATCGAGACTCCTACACCACCGAACCTCCAAACCATCAAGACTTTCATCCGAGACTGCATCCGGACGCTTGTTCCAGGCCAAGGCAATGCAAGTATCGTACATTTAACTAAACGAAACAGAGGTTTAGTATAAGCTGTAGACCCCATTCTACAACGGCACTGATGGTTTTACTCAGGTGGTTAACTGATTCTTTTCATAGCTTCATTCTCTGGTTTTCCTGATGGTTTGATCCATCAAGTCTCATTTGCCCTTTCCCATGTATGAGTGATTGTTTGTTATTATACTAGTTTGTGTTAGTGTTTAGTTAATAAAACTCTTGTGCACAAATTACATGAGTTTGTGATTCTGCCTTGCAAATTAATGTCCCTTTATGATTTTGATCCTTGCTACATGCTCTAATGCATTAATACTGTATGAAAGTATTTTTTGTGGCCATGAAAATATTCTTTCTTACAGTTGATATGAAATTACACTAAATGTTCGCTGGACGAACAGATTAGTTGATGGCAATTTAATTCTGCTACAGTTACTACTGGCAGCTCATATAAATAATTGTAATTAATCATAATTAATTGTAATTATTTATATACATTTCCCTTTTGAGCTAATTTGCTACATAACCGTGGGCATGGGGGACTTTTCTAGCCCTGTGTGCACCAAACCCATCTGGTGAGTTTGTTTTTGGATGAGCGAGGAGTTTTATTTTTTTTAAACCTTCCCGAACAACATGTGGTGATGTAGGTGGAAGTGTGATCATTTTTTAGGCTTTCTGATCCCGAGACTCAACTAATCTCTGCAGTTCTCCAGCTCTGATCCTTGAAGAGTCTTTGGCCACTCAAACTCTCCTCCTCACCATGCTTTAAGACAATATAAACACATGTCCTCTTCTAGGCAGGTTTGTAACATTTCCTGTTGTTTGGAACATCTTAATTATTGCCCTGATGGTGGAAATGGGGATTTTTAATGCTAAAGCTATTTTCTTACAGCTATTTTATAATTTGTGAAGCTCAACAATCTGTTGCTGCACATCAGAACTGTATTCTTTGGGTTTTCTTATTGTAATGGATGATTAAGGGAATTTGGCCTTCATGTTCCCACATATTTATACTCCTGTTTCACAGTCATGTGAAGTCATGGCTGGAAAAGTTTGCAGTCACCCTGGTGTGCTAAAAATTGTAAATATGAATGGGAATATACTTCAAAGAATATGTGTTTATTGTCTTCATGTTTTAGCAGCATTTCTATCTTCCTTTTATTAGATACAGCAATAGCTGGATGTCTTTGACCATATTAAGGATTTTCTGGAGCATCATAAGTTATATCACTTCTGTGAGTCATATTTAGAGTTTGTGCGTGAGGTCGCCCTATGGATATGAGTATCAATGAAACAGACATTATGTGCGTTTAGGGTTGGGAATCGAAAATCGATTCCGATTCCAACTAGTTTGTGTTAGTGTTTAGTTAATAAAACTCTTGTGCACAAATGACACGAGTTTCTGATTCTGCCTTGCAAATGAATGTCCCTTTTCGATTATGAACCTTGCTACATGCTCTAATGCATTAATACTGTATGAAAGTATTTTTTGTGGCCACGAAAATATTCTTTCTTACAGTTGATATGAACTTACACTGAATGTTTGCTGGACGAACAGAGTGGTTGATGGCAATTTAATTCTGCTACAGTTATTACTGGCAGCTGATATAAATAATTGTAATTAATCATAATTAACTGTAATTATTTATATACATTTCCCTTTTGAGCTAATTTGCTACATAACCGTGGGCATGGGGGACTTTTCTAGCCCTGTGTGCACCAAACCCATCTGGTGAGTTTGTTTTTGGATGAGCGAGGAGTTTTTTTTTTTTTAAACCTTCCCGAACAACATGTGGTGATGTAGGTGGAAGTGTGATCATTTTTTAGGCTTTCTGATCCCGAGACTCAACTAATCTCTGCAGTTCTCCAGCTCTGATCCTTGAAGAGTCTTTGGCCACTCAAACTCTCCTCCTCA